CCTGGTAAATAAAGCGGAGATATAATTGCAGATAGACAGATAATTGAGTCAAGCGAGTGGTAGTGACCGTAACTAAAGTGCGTAAATCATTGTGAATTATAGCTTGTGTTGAAGTTTAAAGTGACTGTGGAAATTCAGTGCATTACAAAGTTTGTAACGAGAAAGAATAAACTAGTTTTAATTAAGAAAGGACTTGTAACGCTGAAGTTTCTCGGAAAGAATTTCTACGGGAAATTAACAAACAAGCACATACGCAATAGTTATAAGCACTCAGAATGTACCACTGAGTCACTGGAGAAGAAGCATTAAAAAAGAAGTAGCTTACTCTGTACGTTGTGTGTGTTTATATTGCTTATCGTATTTATCGGAATTTTCAGTTTCACTTTCGGTTGCGTTGTAAGGATGAGTCAATTTCGGATTCTGATTCAAAGCCGGACAAAACAACTGTGGCGGCAGGTGCTGCTGACTGGCTACTTTCTCTCTCTGGTCAGTAGGTCAAAATTAAGAACGGTTATATCCGATCTTTAGGGGATCTCTAACCTGGCGTCTTATCCTATGTTTCACAAAAGATGACGTTGAAAATATTATTACAAATATATTTTGAAAATATTATCTTCTATAAAATGTAATATGTAATATTTTGTTTTAGAAAATACTTTTATATTATGTCCAAATGTACCTAATCAAAATTCGGAGAAACATGTTTAAAACTAATAACATTAATGGCAATTTATATAACAATCCGAAAGCGAAAACGCCATGAATCTAGCTAAACTACGCACTATCCAAGAAGCCAATGGTCGTGAGCGAAATGAATGACGTAACGAAATAACGAACCGACCATAACCGGATTGTTTCTGGTATTTCTTTAGCCTAGCTTTACGTATTGAGGAGTGCAAGTTTAGTGTGCATCCATATTTTCTTTCGGGCGATCGTTTATAGTCTAATTGTTGTAGAAGAAGAAGAAGCTATAACAGAAAAATGGCATTGAAAAGAATAAAAAAGGAACTTGACGATCTAAGAAAGGATCCACCAGCTCAATGCTCTGCTGGTCCTGTGAGCGATGACCTATTTCATTGGCAAGCCACAATAATGGGGCCTCCGGAGAGTCCGTATCAAGGAGGTGTGTTTTTTCTTACAATTCACTTTCCAACTGATTACCCGTTTAAGCCACCTAAACTAGCCTTTACAACTAGAATCTATCACCCAAATATTAACAGTAATGGAAGCATATGCCTGGATATTCTAAGGTCACAATGGTCACCGGCATTGACGATATCGAAAGTGTTATTGTCTATTTGTTCTCTGTTATGTGATCCCAATCCAGATGATCCTCTTGTGCCAGAAATAGCAAGAGTGTTCAAAACTGACAAAGAAAAGTATGGTGAAGTCGCTCGTGAATGGACTCGCAAGTATGCCATGTAGCACAAGCATATTTTCCTAGGCTAATATTAATAAGTAACATTAGCTGTTTCTGAAAGTGAAAGTCAAGTTATTGTGCAGTTTTCTGTAAGCTGTAACTTGTAATATCGACCATGAGCAGTCGTTGTCATTTGAATGGATTCATTGTTCTGATTTACTGTTTTCAATTTACTGTACTTCTTGAAAAGTTCACATACCCTGTTTCCAGATTATTGTCAAGGTAGAAGTCTGAAGCATCTTGTGACCATTTGTGTAACAACAGTGAAGTGGTAGAGCCTGCATATAATTTCAAGCCATTAAATGATTAATCTGTTTTTCTAGCTTCTATTTTAACCTAAATAACTTGTTTTGAATTCCAGTGCTAAAGTGAAAGCCCAGGATGTATCAAAAATGTGTCTCTTTTTTTTTTTTAAATAGTACTTATCCAATTGTGATTAATAAGTCAATATCAAACAAGTAGATCTGCATGTGGAATTTTTTTACTCTTTTTTTTTATTTCAGCTTAAGCTAAGAGCTTAATGATTGCGTGCATCTAGAAGAGTGTAACACTGACATTGTAACTGAATTGTTTTATTCAAAGATATAACTGCTAAGTAATGTATAATCAAGTTTGTAACACGTATGGTAAAAGTCTGAAAACTGCATAAAACAAATTTTTATTTAAATTTTTTTTATCAACTTAATAATCAAGGCCACTTTTCAAAGGGCAAATTTGTTGTTAGATCAATTTTACATTGATCAATATTTTAAAGGAATTATTACATTATTTTGTTTAGTTGTCTTATATTCAACATTCTAAGATACTTTGCAGTATTTATCACAAATAATTATCCGTTTTATTTTATTACACAAAAGTAGGAAATGTTTATTGTACAATCTTGGTTTCTTTCAACACAGGACCTGCAGAAAACAGATTGAAATGTTAAATTTGAGATTTAAAGAAAAAAAGCTTTGTACAAGATTTCCATAGTGATTACATATATAAAAATAAATAATCAGCATTTGGAGTAATTTTCATAAATCATAGAGAATAAAATTTAACAAGCTAATTAATTTCTTAGTTACTAGACTTTCTTACTTCATGAATATATACATTAAAATTTAAACTAGAATCAGTAAATCCTTAAATATGTCAATATACCTGAAAGTTTACTTTTATGAAACTATAATGTAAAACAAAAGCTGCATAGGAAGAATTTTAAAAGTTTTGATTTTTAATTTAATATTAAATTATATATCTAACTACCATTTAAAATATACACAGAGCACAAGAAATGTTTCAAAAATGCTATAAGAACCAGTTGGTGACTATAGGCTACCAGTTTATCCTATTAATGTTTTTTTGCACACAAATTCAAACCTTTCTAATTAATAAATTGCCAAAAAAGCTTATCTTTTTAACACTAAACTGCTTGCAAGTTTTGGGTGTGATAATACTTTTACAAGATTAAAATATGTATTGAATAATGAAATAGTCAAATTTAATTCTATTGAGGTGTTTCATTCAAAGCCAAAATTAACTTAACTGGATTTATGGGGTAATTGTAAGACTTGTATGCTGTCATTGGTGTAGGCCTTGTGTATTTGTGTTCGAGCACAAGTTAGATAACAACTCATTTTTTTTATCATTGGTGTTAAATATTGCTAATAAAAATTGGGTTAAAAATATTACTAGCATACCTGAAGTCTTTAAATTAAAGTTCTACAAGAATTTGATATTTAAAGTAAACTTCTACCATACCAATGTTAGACTTTGTGAATTGAATTTAAATTTCTATCCTTTTAAAAACTAAGAAAATTCAGCTTACAAAGACTTGTTAAACTTTAGCTGCTACTTATTCTATTTTCATGTAATGTTTTTTCTTTATTGTGTATATTTGCTTTAAAAGTTTTAAGTGTTATAAAAAATTGTGCTTATGGAGTTATTACAAGAATTAAAATTTCTACCACCAAAATATTGCTTAAATATATGAGTGTATGTATTTTAACAGTAATATTTCAAACTGGTAAATTAGTATAATGTAACACTTAAAGAAAATGAGAGTTTCCAAGGTTGGAAATGTCTCAAGAAGAATTTTTTTAATGATTTAAAGCTTTTAGTAAAAATGAGACAGAAAATCTTGTATTTCTCTTGTTTATATTTAGATCTTGCAATTTGCAATTAAAATCCTTTTAATTCATCAGCATTCAAGTATTGTCTTTTTGAAAGAAATGCTTTAATTGTTATGTAATAAACAATAGCCTTTTGATAGTAATGCTATGAGAATTTTGCTATCTATTTAAAAACGTGATATAATTAAACTGAAAATTGAATATCTTGTGTTCCTTTTAATACGTTTCTGCCTAAATTCATATATAATATATTGTACTTTTATCTGCTTCATGTTTTGCAGTATTTCTAATTTATCTTTTACTATAATTAATAAATTATGCAGTGTAATTAGGAAAGTTTGTGCATAGACATTAATGGAATATCTGTAAATACATATGGCTGTTTCAGTAGTGTCTAACTATATTGTAAAGGGCAGAAATCCATCTTGACAATAACATTGCTTTCTGTATATACATACTTGGTTTGACTCTGTTGTTATTTTAGTGAATTAACTTGATTGGGATTCCTTGTACACTTGCAGGCACTTATGGTAGTAATAAATGGAATCTTGTGTAATGATGTTTGCTTTTGTTTTATTGTTTTGGAACACTTCTTAAGTCTTATGAACAGGAAAAAAGAATTAAAATTTTAATGGAAAGTAGGGACCATTGGGTATTCGTAGAATTGCCATAACAAAATAAATGCTGCAATAAAAAAGTACACAAACAAGTAAAGTGATACTAGTTGCATAGATTTAAAAATGATTTTCAAGCCCTGCTTTGCTTGGCAAACTTACACTGTTTCATTTAGCTATATATTATATATTTATTTGTCCATGGAATGGACATGACATTTATAAACTTTCAGTATAGCCATATCCTTGATAGCTATGACTTTCACAAGAATCAAAACCACAATCACTTATTTACCATTTATATTATCAGAATATTAAGAGCTAATACCCAATGACCAGTCAAGTAAGCTGGAGAAATGTTGAAGTGATAGTCAAGCTGTCTAGGCACTAGCTCTGCTGACATGATCAGGTTGATAGGTAGTAGATGAAAAAGTTGCTGTTGTAGAAATTTTTAATTGTTATACTGGAAACACTGGTGACCTTTGTAGCATATTATTAGTATATATGCACATAATATATCATAATCAATACTTTGAATGGTTGGTTTTTCAGCATGTGAATTATTTAGAATCCCTACTATTAAATACTTAAAATGACATTACAGAAAAAGTGTTTTAATTTAAATTTTTGGCTACATAAAATTTTTTTTTTTTTTTAAGCATAGCTGTATGTAAGCATATGTTTGTAAGTAATACAGAATATAACAATAAAATATTATAATTTCAAAAATTTGGAAATTGTTAGACCACAATTTTGGTATTTCAAAAATATTATTAAGGTAATATTTTTTCAATGTTATTGAACACATATTTTGAACAGATATTTTGATGAATTGGAAGTATATTTCTTTAAAGAATAAATTTGGTGGGAGTCTGCATGTATGCTTTGGTTGACAAATTATACATTATATTATATAGAGGTGGGTGGTTAATGGATTTTGCTAATTGACTAATCACCTGGCTCATTTATTGATTACATTAAACTAGTAATTATCCTTACATGAGACTAACCTTTCTATTTTCATCTTGTTTTGGTTTTTTAAAGACATTTTGGGACTATCCTTCATTTAATATGATAGACATCTTCAGATAAACAATAATTTAAAATAAATTTAAAATTTTTAAGCTTGAATTGTCGTACATGTAAATATATTGTTTATGCAGAAAACCTGTATGACACTGAAAATATGGTTTCTCCCTTAACGTTTTCACAAAGCTACTAGAATTAAATAAATTAATTCTTTGTTCAGAATAAAATGTTCTTTATAAAACTTATATGAAACTGAAAATGTGGTTTCTCCCTAAACATTTTCATGAAACTTCTAAAATTAAATAAACTAATTATCACAGTGAAAATAGATTCATGCTGATCTTAGAAAAACAAAGGAAGTAGAAGGTTTACTATTTGGCAGGAAAACTTATGGTGATACTAGATGATCTTGTTGCAGAGATTAAAATGATTCACAAGGTAAAAGTTGAAGTATTATAAGAAATGTTAAAATCATAGTAATATGAAAAAAATTTTAATAACAGACATTTTGGAACTTGTTCATAAATCAATCATTAGTTTGAAAACTTAAAAGGTAACTAATAAAGTTTTAAGTATTGAAAAATAGCATAAGCATAAATTCTAAGTTAAAAGTTGTTGATACCTCATATATGTTTAGAAAAAACATTAAAATGACTAAATATGTTTATAGTACAGATTGGAAAAAAATTGTACAAATATATGCATGCTGAGAAACAAAGAGCCTAAAGGTTACTGTACTAGGCAGCATTTAAACTGTACTTGATGAAAGCCAGAACATTATTTTCCCTTTTTAGTGCTTCTTGTGTTACTATAGCTATTTATAATGAAACGGTTCTTTTCATGTAAACAGGTAAAAAATTAATATTATTACATATTGTTAAACTGTTATTAATCCATGTCTAGTCATTTCTGACAAACACATCTAAATGAATAAGTTATTCAGCAATCAACAGTTTTAACTAAATAAATGTTAATGAATATTAACTTGCCATAATGTTTTTACTAAGCAATCTTTCTCTAAGTAACACTGGTTACATTTTTAAGTTGTAGTAAGTTGGCAATATATTAAGTTAAAGCTACATAATTAAATTTAGACATATAAGGTAAACATGAAAAGTAGGCATCACTATGTCTACCTATGTAACCATTGGCCACTAGGCTACAATGTAACTTTTGTGAGTTGTGTACAAGTAGAATCTATGCGTATTGTCACACAGAGTTGTGACAACAAAAATAGCAATAGATAGT